AGCCATCCAGGCTTCTGATGTGGCTCCCGGCTGGCCTGCCGATACCTACAGAGCAGGCCACGCGTGGCTCCTCGGCTGTCAACCATGGAGAGCACCTCATGTGGCTTCATTTAGCTGTTCCTAAGCAGATCTCCCTCCCTCTCCCTCTCCCTCTGCCCCCCCTCTCTCTGGGCTGCAAGTTACTCTGTGTCAAAGACAGCAAATAAACAATTAAAAAAAAAAAAAACAGACCCAAATTTTCATTTTGTGTGACTATTTCTTGTGTCCCTTTCTCTTTTCCTATCCTATCTCCTTTCTTTCCTCTCTCTCTTCCCCCTCTCTTTTGAGACAGTCTCTCTCTGAGACAGTCTCTCCTCTGTCTTTGAGACAGCCCCCCCACCCCCAGAGCCTCACTACACAGAGCAGGCTGGTGTGGAACCCTTAGGCTGCCTTTTGTTTTGTGGCAGGGTTTTCCTACATAGCTCGGGATGGCTTTAAACTCATGATCCTCCTGCCTCATCTTCCAAAGTGCTTGGGTAGTCACTGTGTGCCACACATGGCTGGTGTTTATGTCCCCCTGACCCAGGCTGGAGTCACTTGGGAAGAGGAAGATTCAACTGAGTAAATGCCTCCCCCAGATCGACCTGTGGTACATTTTCTTGACTGATTACTCATGTGGGAGGGCACAGAGCACCAGGGGGTGGTGCCACCCCCAAGTGGGTGGTCCTGGATGGAATAAGAAAGCAGGCTGAGCAAAACCAGGGACAAGAAACCAGTAAGCAGTGGTCCTCCCATAGTTTCTATTTTAGGTCTTGCCTCCAAGTGCCTGGGCTGACTTCCCTGGATGATGGACTACAAGCTACAAGCTGAAATAAACCTTTCCGCCCCAAGCTGCTTCTGGTCACGGTGTTTTATCGCAGTAATAGAAACCTAACTAAGACATCCTGTTCGAGTGATCATTAACTGAGTTCCTCTGTTTGCACTCGCAGGAGCCACCCAGGGCACCCCCCACCACTTGGTGTCTCCAGGACGGTGACAGTTGCTCCTGCCGCAATGTGCAGGGTGGGTGGCTTTCAGATAACTTCTGGGTGCTCACACTCTGGGAAGAAGAAACCCAGAGAGGAGAAATTAGCATCCGAGAAAGCTGAGGAGACCCGATCCCTGCTCTCAACCTTGAGAAACTCAGGCTGCCCGGGGCTGCCTTTCCTCCGCAATCTGCAAAAACAATTAACCACCTGAGGCGTGTTTGAGCAAGCCTTCTATGGAACTCATAAATCCATAAATGACGTCATTTCATGGCGTTCACTCACTAAGAGCATCTTTCCAAGGGGATAAGCTCTGTACTTAACTTTATGAGGTTATTAATCCTTAACAGAATCAGGAACCATAGATAATGCCTGATGTTGTATGGCCAATGGGAGCTGGCCTTGGGGTTAAGCACTTGATTTTATACTTCGTGTCAGGACACGTGCATAAAACACTACTGGTTGGTTTTTAAGATTTAAAAAATTGTATTAAATTTTAGATGAGATATTTCTATCTCTCTCTCATATATATGTGTATATATTACACATATTATCCTGTGTGTGTATCCTATGTATATAATATGTTTAATATATATATATGAGAAAGATAGAAATCTTTCTCCCTCTCTCTCTCACACACAGGATGTTTATCCATTAAAGCCCTTCCTATTCTCTGCTGGAGTTCCTTCTCACATTTTCTTGCGCGCGCACACACACACACACACACACACACACACACACACACACAGAGCAAGTAGAAAACAAATAAAAAATCAAATCGTGTAAATGGGGTTATGATACATATAGTCATCTGCAAATGTATCTTTATTCTCAATATTGCTTTTTTTTCTTCTGAGATAGGGTCTCACTATGTAACCTTGGCTGGCCTGGAACTTTCTATATAGACCAAGCTGGCCTCCAACTCACAGAGATCCACCTGCCTCTGCTCAAAGGTTGGGAGTGTGTATCACCATACCTGGCCTCTCGACATTGCTTCAGTGCTTCATTTTAAGATGTTGAGAAAGCCATTCATGATTGCGCACACCTTTAATCCCAGGGAGGCAGAGGCAGGGGGATCTCTGTGAGTTCAAGGCCAGCTTGGTCTAGAAAGTGAGTTCCAGGACAGCCAGAGCTGTTACACAGAAAAAAACCCTGTCCCAAAAAAGTACCAAAGCATGCCCCCCCCCCCCGATAAATAAATAAATAAATGTAATTTTCAAAAAGAGAGGTTGAAAGCTGGGCACAGTGGTGTGTAGCTGTCATCCTAACACTTGGGACATAGGGGCATCAGTAGTTCAGGGCCAGTCTTGTCTGCCTAACATGTTTGAGCCCATCCTAGGCTACATGAAACCTTGTCTCAGAGCTACAACAAGAGCCAACGAGATGGCTGGGTGGGCCAAGGTGCTGGCCGCCAAGTCTAATGACCTGTGCTTGATTCCTGGGACCCACATGATTGAAAGAGAGAGTCAGCTTTCACAAATTGTCCTCTGACCTCCACATACAAGCTGTGCTATGCAGTCCCCAGTAGATATAATAAAAAGTAAACAGTAAAAGAAAACAAAATATTTTGATGATTTTATTCTATCATCTTTGATTTTTTTTTTTATTCTCTCATCTTGCACCCAACCCAAATAGTTTCTACTATGGTCACAAAGTGACCAGAAGGAGACCTAAGCTGTAACCATCTGTGCTTCTCATGTGATCTCAACATTGAGAGGAGCTTGTGCTAAAGCCTTCCCTCCCACTGACAGAGGCCTCTTGGGATACTCCCGTGAGCACTCTGATCACTTACACTGTCAGCTTCACACAACCTAGAATCACTTGGGAAAAGAGTCCCAGTAGGGGACAGTCTACATTGGGCTGGCCTCTGGCCACATCTATGGGAAGCGGTCTTAAGTTCATTAATATGGGAAGACCCAGTCCACTGTGGGTCTTAGGCAGGGGTTCCTGAGCGAGGAACAGGAGAAGTCAAGTGAGCTGAGCACAATAAAGCAGACGATTTTATACTTGCATTCAATTCTCTGTGCTCTTGTCACCAGCTGCCTCAAGATCCTGCCTCGACTTCTCCATGGTGATGGGCGATGACATAAACTACTTTCTCTCTTTGCGCCAGGCCATTTTATCACAGAAACAGAAATGAAACTACAGTAAGCAGCCGTGTGCTTGCTAATATAACTGCATTAAGTCGTGTATATGCGTGTGTTGTGTGTGTTCATGTGTGTGTGTTGTGTGTGTTCATGTGCGTGTGTGGCTGTGGAGGCCACAGAACAACCTCATCTGTTCTCCCTCAGGGGCTGCCCACTGTTTTGTTTCTATCCCCGTGTGTGTGTGTGTGTGTGTGTGTGTGTGTGTGTGTGTGTGTGTATGCATGTGTGTGTGAGCGCAAGTGGGAGGGTGCCTATGCACTTGTGTGCCCATGCATGTGGAGACTCAAGGTTGATGTCTGATCTCATCCACAATTGCTCTTCTGCCTTATTCCACGAGGCAGGGTCTCTCAATCAAACCCAGAGTTCACTGATATGACTAGTCCTGCTTGCAGGCTTGCTTTGGGAATCCCTTGTCTCCACCTCCCAGGGCTGGAATTCGAGGGGCCCCTTCTTGCCTGAAATGTACACAGGTTTCTATTTGGACTGGATCCAAATTCCAGTCCTCAAGCTTGCAAGGCAAGCACTTTAACCACTGAGCCATACTTCTGGCTCCATTTTTTTTTTTTTTTTTTTGAGGCAGGGTCTCTCATTGAACCCGGAGCTTGCCAAGTAGGCTAGGCTGGCTGGCCAGTGGACCCTAGGGATCCTCCCATCTCTACCTCCCCAGGCCTGCGGTTACAAGTGTGAACCACAGTGCCTGGGTTTGTTCAGTGTGTTCTGAGGGTTGAACTCTGGTCCTTGTGATTGCACTTTATCGACTGAGAAATCTCCCCACTGTCAGAATATTGATCAGCAGAAACCATAACCACTCCAGGAATCTTATCTGTGGTATATTGTGTTACTTATGGGAGATATTTGCTTATATATACTATTTGTATATGTCCCTGCCCCTGTTGATATCAGGGCTGGCACCTGGCTTTCACTGCCTCTCCCTAATGTCTTTAACATCCTTGTCCCGTCCATTCCAGCAAGAGCGCGCCACTTGCTGTAGCCAGCAGAACATGGTGATGAACACACAGCATCTCTGTAACCAACCTTTAAAAGCGAGATGTTAACCACTGTGATGGTCAGCTCTTGCGATCCACGTGACGAAGTCTAGAATCACCTGGGAGGAGGGCCTTAATGAGAGATCACCTGCTTTGTGTTGGCCTGGGGGTGTGTCTGTGGGACACTGCCTTATATCAGCTGATGTAGGAAGAGTCAGTCCACAGTGGGCAGCGCTATTCCCTTGGCAGGGGATCCTCAGCTGCACAAGAGTAGAGAACTCGAACTGAGCAGGCAAGTGGACGTGCATCCTTCAGTTCTCTCTCTCTTCAAGTGCCTGCCTTGACCATGTGGATTGTCACACGAGGCTGTGAGCCAAATAAACTACTGTAAATAGTTTATTTGAGCTTTCTGTCCTGTGTGCCTGATTATACCCGGCAGTCCCTTCCCAAATCACCACTGAGAGGCTTATATTAATTATAAATGCTAGGCCAATGGCTCAGGCTTATTACTGGTTAGCTCTCACATTTAAATTAACCCATATTTCTTACCTCTGCTTTGCCATGTGGTTCATGAATTGTTACCTCATTTTCTACACACACACACGTCTTGCTTCCTCGGCAGCTGGCTGGTGTCTTCCTGTCTTCAGTTTGAATGTACTGCCTGATCTTATTCTGCCTCGCCATTGGCCAAACAGCTTTGTTATCAACCAATGAGAGCAACACATATTTACAGCATACAGAAGGACATCCCACAGAATTTCCCCCTTTCTGTCTAATCAAAAAGGAAGGTTTCAACTTTAACATAGTAAAATTATATACAACAAAAACCGTTATCAAGTAAGAATCAGTTACAATATGCAGTCTATTTGTATTTGGCAAAATTAAAGAAAATATTCAATTATCTATCTTATCTTGGACTACTTTCTGCCCTAAATTAAATTTTTTTTGAGACAGATTTCTCTGTATAGCTTTGGAGCCTGTCCTGGAACTCTTTCTGTAGACCAAGCTGGCCTCAAACTCACAGAGATCCTCCTGCCTCTACCTCCAAAGTGCAGTGATTAAAGGCATATGCCACCAGCACCTGGCCCTTAGTTACTTTTTGTTAAATTATTTTATCATAGCCACGAAAATAAAATCAAGGCAGTGGTTTTGCCATCTGCTGTGAGATTGACAGTGTCTTTCAGACAGGGGCTTCTCCATCATCCTAGATCCCAGAGCAAAGGTGGTCTGGAGGAGGGGACAGACATTGGGTGAGTAAGTAGCAAGAGTAACACACTTTTGTAGTTGTAAAACACTGAGCCTAGATGGGCTGTTTGTTACTGCAGCATAACCTGGCATTTCCTGACTGATACACTAACTCTCCCAGCAAAGCAATCACTTTACCAACTGGACTGTCTATCCAGCCTTTAAAAATGTTTATATAAGGGGCTGGAGGGATGGCTCAGTGCTTAAGACTGGGCACTGCTCTAGGCGAGGACCTAAATTTATGCCTCAGCACCCACAGCTGACATCTGTCCTTGAACACCTCACAACCACCTCTAACTCCATATGGGGGGGGCAATGTCTCCTTCTTGATTCTGGGACACTCACACTCACGTGTAAATAGACCCCCTCACGTATACATAATTAACAAATAAAAATAAATCATTAAATTTTTATTACTTTTTATTAGACTGATCACTAAGGAGGCAGGTAGATTAATTTTTTAAAAAATTGTGTGTGTTAAGAAGGGCACATGTGTATGATGGCGCTCACATGGAGGTCAGAGGGTAGCTTCCAGGATTTGCCTAGTCTTCAGGCAAATGTGGGCTCCAAGGACTTAACTCAGACCATCAGTCCTGGTGGCAAGCACTCGTCCACTGAGCCATCTCACAAGCCTTGATTTTGTTTTTTTTTTGTTTTTTTTTTTTTTTTTTGACACAGCCTCGCTGGCCTCAAACTGTAGCAATCATCTATCATCCCAGCACTTGGAAGGCTGAAGTGGGAGAACTGTGAGTGTGAGACCACCTTGAGCTACACAGAGAGACCCTGTCTCAAAGGAAAAAACAAACAAACAAAATCCAAGACAACAAGTTTTCTATGGCAGTGGGGGCTGTACCTCTCCACACAAGCATGAGGGCTGGAGTTTGGATCCCCAGAACACTTGCAGATGCAACCTGTAACTCCAGTCTTGGAAGGCAGAGGTAGGCAATCCCCAGAGCAAGACTAGCCATATCAGTGAGCTCTGGGTTTGATTGAGTGCCCTACCTTAATGAGTAAAGTAGAAAAGAAACTGAGGTTGATTCCTGACATCATTTAGCCCTCCACATACACGTACACACATGCATGACTATCCCCATAAGTATGTTTCTACACACATGCAAAACATGTCCCCACCCACGTGAGTACCACACACAGACACATGAAAATGGAAAAAATGTATCTATTTTCTTATGTTTCTGGAGATTGAGCCCAGTGTGTGTGCATGGTAGGTTAGAAGCCTTCCACTAAGTTGTGCCTTCAATCGTAAAATATATATATTTTTTAATTACCTACAAACACACACACAAGGGGGCTGGAGGGATGGCTCAGTGGTTAAGAGCACTGCCTGCTCTTCCAGAGGTCCTGAGTTCAACTCCCAGCACCCACATGGTGGCTCACAACCATCCCTAGTGGGATCTGGTGCCCTCTTCTGGTATAAAGTTGTACATGCAGATAAAGCACTCATATACATAAATAAATAATAAAAATCTTTAAAAAAAACACAAAAATACAT